TAATCAACACATTTAATTACTGTCATTAGCTATTCTCTCAAGATTGCTTTTAACAAACAGAAGGTTTGCAAAGAGTGATTATATCATACCCTTGAAATGTGTTGATAACTTTAAATGGCTTAAAGTTTTCTTGTCTGTATATTCTCCTAGGTATAGAAAATTATGGAAAGTTTGGGGAATAAAGAAAAACACATAGATAATAAATTGTTTCCCTTTTTGGCTCATATTACTAGGAACAATAAAATAAAACACACACAAAACCCCACAATAACACCTATTTTATTAATATGTACCAGATTAAAGATGTAATTACCACTTTGTTGCAATAGAAAACAAATAAATTGTCAGTTAGTTCTCTACTTAAAATGTAAAGTGAGAAATGGTGGTCATTGCTGGGATAATGCAATCATGTCTTCTTCATCACTTCTGTTTTACCACCATCAGATAAGGTCACAAACAACAGAAGGCAGAAGTATTACTTGTGATGTATCCCAGAAACAATATACTGGCCAGAGTTTGTATTCAAACAATGGTGATTACTAGTCATTGTTCAGCAATGTTGCACAGCAGAAAGCAATTTATTAAACCTCTTCCAACTTCAGTATTCTCATTGGCAAAATGCATAGCCTATAGTTTTCAGAGTTCTTGTGAAGATTTATTCATCACATATTCACTCACATAACAAGTATTTATTGGACACCTATTTTATGCCAGTCATGGTGTTAGCTAGATGCTAAGCAGAGAGATGTAAGAAATGCCAGTGTATTCTCTAGCCTTCTATAATTTTTGTGGATACAAAATGAGGCTTTCTGGGGATTAATTTAGAGCCTATGGCCAACAAATCCAATTTATTATTACTTGTAATTCACTTTACTATTGCCAAGTTTTTAATTTAAAACTTAAAAGTATATCCCTGAGCTCAGATTGAACATTATATATCACCCTTCCTATTAATTGATATAGCAAACATTGGAGGTCACTGTTGTCATCACAACAGTGCCATCTCCTAGTTTCTCTTTTTCTCTATCCAACTCACATAAAATATACCAGTGTTTTTGCCTGTCTACTGGACATATTCTTTTAAAAATTCTATATGTGTCAAAATGACTGAAAATCTTCTACTTACCCAACATTCTCCTCCAACCATCTCTATTAAATGACATCACTATCCTTGCAATCACTCAAACTGGAAATCTGGGAATAATCCCTGACTTCCTCTTCTTATTCCCCACAGCCAATTAAGTGTGGGCCATACATTTTAACCCCAGCCCTCATTCTTCCACCCAAGGACCCTCAATGTTTCCCACAAACAGTTTTCATTCCTCAAATCTTGGTCCTTCCAATGCATTCTGCTCCCAGTAGCATATTTATCTGAAAACTGACCTTGACCATGTCTTTCTGCTGTTGAAAGTCTTCAAATGGTTATGTACTTAAAAAAAACTGTCTAAAGCTTTAAAAATTAGCATATATTAATTTTACAAAATAATGGGCTTCATTACAACATTGTCATATTTGTTCATAATGTACTCTGATTATATTCACCTTCCACTTTCTCTTGTGCCCCTCTCCCCTTCCTGTTGGTCTACTTCCTCTTCCCAAATTGTCCCCATTTTACTTTCATATCTTTAAGAAAAATCTGAATTTCACATATGATAATGGGCAGTATTTGTCTTTCTGAGTCTGTCTTATTTCATTGACTATGGTTACCTCCAGTTCCATCTGTTTTCCTGAAAGTGATACAATTTCATTCTTGTTACTTTTTGTAGAGGATCATAATCCTCCAATTTTTTAGCTAGTATGGAAGTTCTGTGATTTGTCCTGCATATTGTCTTGGCATTTTTTGAGGTAGGGATTTGACCCTACAAAAGCATGTTAGGCCTAGTCTATGACTGCACATGAAGTGTGGTGTTGGGATGATTTGTCTTTACAAAACATAGTTTTTAATAAATATTAAGTGGAACATGTAGCAGAATATATATAAAGTATGAATATTAAGTATGAAAACCACCACTAACACCCTTGCAGCCTACACTCAGTTCAAGAAAAACAACACTATTGGTTATTTGGCTATTAATTGAAAGACTGTAGGCAATTAAAACTTCTAACCAGTGATTTGGCCTCGATGGTCAAATTCCAATGCAGAAACACATGAAATGAGAAAGCAAGGCAACATAAATACTCTAAAACAAGGCTACTCCAAAACAACAAACATTAATAACAGTGAGGTGAAAGAAATTTCAAAGAATTTTTAAAAATGATTATAAGAATGATCAATTAAATTAAATAGGAAACAAATAAATGACTGAATGAATTACAAACTCAAAGAGCTGAGTAAAATAAAGAAGACAATATAGAACATGAAAGAGGTATTCAATAAGGATACAGAAATTCTAAAAAAAGTCAAATTTTTTTGAAATTCTAGAAATGAAAAGCTCAATAAGTCAAATAAAAACAGAGAAGAAACTCTCTCCAGTAGACCAGCTCATATTGAAGATAGACTATCAAGCCTGTAAGGGAAAGTAGATATAATAGATTTATTTTTTATTATTATATTATTGTTGTACTGGGGATACATTGTGACATTTACAAAAGTTCTTACAATATAACACAGTTGAATTTACCCCATCCATCATTCTCCTTTATCCTCCTCCCTCCATTCCTGGAATAGTTTCAACAGGTCTCATTTTTTTCATATTCATACTTGAGTACATAATATTTCCACTACATTCACCCTACTACACCCTTTTGTTATATCCCCTGCCCCCCCCATGTTAGATTTCTCAACAGAAACTTTAAAAGCAAAAAGAGCATGGAACGATGCCCTAAAAGGAAATAATACTGACCTTTATTACTGTACCCAACAAAGCTATCCTTCATAATTAGAAACAAAGTCTCCCATGATAAACAAAAACTAACACAATTTATGACTACTAAATCACAACTACTTCTGAAGAAGATACTTAAAGGCATCTTACACACAGAAGAGGAAGGTAAATGCAACCATGAAAACATGGATGGGAATAAATCTCATAAGGCAAGTAGATATGCGAATTAGGAGTAAAGAATAAAGCACTACAAAACCTGTAAATGGCAAGAAATATTACATACTTTCAAATAATGATTCTAAATACTAATGGTCTCCATTTTCCAATCGAAAGACACAGATTGTCAGTTTGGATTAAAAAACAAGACACATCCATTTGTTGCCTACAAGCAACGAACCTCACTGAACAAGACAAACATAGGCTTAGACTGACAGTATGGAAAAAGATTTTCTAAGCAAATGGAGCCTGAAAGCAAGCAGGAGTAACTATATTGATATCTGACAAAGATCATTAAGATCATATCTTAATATCTTAGGACATAAAGTATTGACAAATACAAGAAAACTGAAATAGTTTCCTATATTTTATCAGATCACTATGGAATAAAACTAGAAATATATAACTAGAGAAACTATAGAAACTACTCAAACATATGTAGAATGTACAATTGATTCTTGAATGCTCAGAAAGTCATTGAATAAATAAAGGGGTAAGTAAAAAAATTTCTAGAATCAAACAAAAGGAAAGACAACTAACCAGAACCTTTGGACATAGCAAAAACATAACTGATAGGGAAGTTTATAGCTATTAAGTTCTGTCATTAAAAAGTTAGAAAGATTCCCCAAAATAACCTAGCAATGCCCTTCAAGCTATTAGAACAAGTCAAATCCCAAATAAGTAGGCTCCAAAAAATGATAAAAATAAGGGCAGTAATTATAGTGACTAAAAGAACAATACAAAAAATCAAGGAAGTAAAAAGATGGTTCTTAGAAAAGATAAATAAGATTGTAAAACCCTTGGCCAGACAAACATACACAGAGATCAATGGAATAGAATAAAAAATCCATAAGTAAGCCCACACAGATCCAGTAATAAAAGACAGCCTCTTCAATAAATGGTGTTGAGAAAACTGTATATCCACATGTAAAAGACTGAAGCTAGACCCATATCTCTTACCCTGTACAAAAATGATTCAAAATGAATCAAATATTTAAATATAAGGCCTAAAACTTTGAAACTACTACAGGAAACATAGGGCAGACCCTTGAAGATGTGGGGATAGGTAATGATTTTTTGACTAGTACTCCAATTGCTTAGGAAATAAGAGCAAGGACTGAAAACCGAGATTGTATCCAAACCAAAAGCTTCTGCATAGCAAAAGAAACAATTATCAGGATGTAGAAAGAACATACAAAATGGAAGAAAATCTTTTCCAGTGAAGCACTTGGCAAAGGATTAATATGCAGAATATGTAACAAGTTCCTTAGATATATTCTAATAATGGTGAACATTGAAAGGTCAGGGGAAAGAAAGGCTCATTCACCTTGCTCTACAGAGCTTTTTTTTTTAACTTTTCCAAAAACACATTCAGGCTCTAACCTTCCCCTGCTACTATCTCCTATCTAGATAATTAACAGAGAATACTTAAGTAATTCTTTACAGAACCAAGAAAATTTATCCAGTACTACCCATTATCTCTTCCAGAAGAGACAGAAGTTATTGGTAAATTTGAATAGTAATGTCTTCTGCTAATTATTAAAAAATCAAATTCTAACATCTTGGTAAACAACTGTAAGTTTCATGTACATTTTCTTATTAAGCCATAATATAATTGAATCTTCTTTGGAATGAAAAGAGATTTTTGTTGTTGTCTTTCTTTCTCTTCCTCAAGAAGAGCTACTGTGGGAAGTTGAGCCAGGACTACTTACATATTTTGTGGGGCCCAGCACAAAATGTAGAGCCACTTGCTAAAAAATCATTAAGAATTTCAAGAGGGAGACAGCAGAACAGTCAGGCAGATGGGAACCCTTTGAAGCTCAGCAATCCACGTGGCTATTAAAGTTGTATACCCATGTGGTCACCAGCAAAATAGCCATAATTTTAATATCAGGACCCTGGTATTCTGTAATGACCAGTGTTCTATTTCATCTGCATCAGAGCTATCTTTGCCTTCCCATGCTCTTATCAATGGAAAATGAATTATCACATTTCAAAAGAAGAAGACAAAATATAGGCACTTAAACAAGGGAATACATTTAAACCAAGTAGCGTTTGAGATTTTGGCATAGTCATGGAAGTTACTTAAAAAGATAACATGCCCACTTTCTCCAAGTTTCAAATTGTTGATGGGATGTACTCTTTTATTCACAATTACATAAAGGAAAAAAAAAAGAAAAACAACAATGTTTTTGTTTGTTTTCTTTTCTTTTCAGTGCTGGAGATGGGACTCAGGGCTTCACACATGCTAAGTGCTCTACCACTGAGATACATCCTCAGGGATGTAAGGAAGGAATAGAGTAGATGGTAGAGCCTCTTCTCAGTGTGAGGAATACGCTACAAAATACGGACTGTGATTGTCTCAGGTCTTCTAAAGGGCTGGAGGACACAAATCAATTTTTGTACGTGAAACATGGAAGTCATCCACGTATGGTTGGGATTATGTTCTATAGACCCACCCATAATTCAGTGGTTCAAATTTACTATTATAACTTTTATGTAATAGCAAACCTGGAACCTTTAGCGCTGCAGCCAAAGAAAACCCAGGTAAAGCAGATTCTCCTGAGAGGTTGAAGAGTGGGATAGGCTCATTTAAGTTATTAAACTTGAGAATGGCAAGGATTTTTCCCCTCATTTTCAGATCCAGTTCCCTTGAGACTAATTACTAAATTACAAAACAGCACAGTTAACATAGTTCAAGTCTTCTAGTTCCACATAAATATTTATAGTCGATAGAAAAGAGACAGTTTCTTCCATAAGGAGTTAACAATGGCATCTTTTACAGTGCAGCAGGTATGTGGAGAAGGGATTATGAAGGAAAGATCTGTGTTTTCTCTTCCTTGAGGTTTTTAGGGAGGTAAATTGTCACCCTAATAATGCAGTAGTATTGTTGGTGCTTTGACCTTTCCCTTTTCCACTGGTCATGTTCAGAGAGAATATGCAGGAATGTAGAAGACTATTGAAGGCAAGGTTGATATGCGAGCAGGGTAATGTGCAGTGCTTGATAGTGTGTTGCATTTCCTAGGAAGAATATTTAGAATCCTGAGAAGGGTAACTCTTCATGAGCAGCTGAATAATTCATTTATTATAGGTGTTGAGGGCAAAAGGGAGTTATCTGGGGTAGGAGTTGTTTTGTTGAGACAGGCCATCACTATGTAGTCCAGGCTGGCCTTGAACTCATGATTCTCCTGCCTCAGCTTCCCACATGATGAAATTACAGGTGTGTACCACCATGCCCTGCTTACTTTACTTTCTTAGGAGAAACACTTTCTGGTTAGATCTACTCATGAGTATGGTGTTATTTCAAGGAAGGAAGGAAGGAAGGAAATAAGGAGGGAAGGAAGAAAGGAAAGTAGTCTTTGATAATATTCATTTTATATCACTCTTCACATGTATAATTTCACATGTTAATATTCATTCACATTAAAATTTGATAGAACTAGAACTGAAAGTAATCAATAGCTTGGATAAGTACAAAAAATTTACTGAAAGCAGAAAGAATGATTAGCAGGAGGAATGACATAGTTAAGTCCCTTAAAAGTCTTACAAAGTGTTTATTATAGCAGATAATGGAGCAATTAAACACTAATCAAATTTAATGACTAGGCAAAAAATGAGGTCACACTGGAAAATTATTTTAAAAATCATTGTTGTTACAGTTTTGTAGTTTAATCACTTTCTTTGGGGAATATAGAAAATAATTTTGTTCTAACAATTTAGTTAATAAAAAAATCTGGACATGGTGTTTTTCATAAGCTGATTAGGAAAGTAATTTATTGCATTCCAAATCTTTAATTTTTGTGTCTGGACCTCTTGTAGAAACATAACAGAAACAGAGAAACGATCCAACATACTGTTTAATTCTATTGCAATTCATGTATCTGCACACACTTACACTAAGAGGCTTAAAAACAGAAAAAATGACCTTTGAAGAATATAGCTTTGAAAATGCTGTTTGGGCATTAAGTTTTCTATGGATAAGCAATCTGAAAGATGTGAAAGATATGCTATTGAAGGGCTTAAACTAATCAAAGATGTCACATGCAAGAATTATGTCAAGCATCCCATGGAGAATGGTGATGCTTAAATTCAATTAACAGAATTGCTGGATGAACCCATCAAATAATTAGTTAATGTGCCCCTCTATACTCTGTGGCAGGTGCAGATGCACTTAGGTATTACATTATGTGTTTCAAAGATGTTCATTATAGCACTTAAAGTTGATTGGCTAATTAAAGTTTTTAAATGCGAAAAGAGAAATGAGTCAGCTCAGTACCTGATAATTTGAGACATGTAAGTACTGACTATGATTTTTACAAAAGTGGGATGGTAGGTAGATTAATAATGCCAAAGTGACTATACCAGAACCATAAAGAGTCTTGAGATTAAATCTCAAAATGCATTATAATTGGAAGTTGCATAAAAAACTTTGTTTGGCATTTTTCATTAAAGTGAATTTATTTGTTATTTTTCTTTGCTAAGAAGTGAAGTAATTTTAAAATAAGCCAACAAAATTTCCTTTGGGTCTCTTATACTTTTTTTTTTTTTTTTTTTTTTTTTTTGGTGCTGTGGATAAAGCCTAGGGCCTCATGCATGCTAAACAAACGCTCTACTACTGTGCTACATCCCGGGCCCTTCCCATGTTTCTTAATAAGCATACTGAGGGTGACCAGAATCATCCTTTCTTTTTCATAAGACTTCATTTTTTTTTATTCTGGCATTTTCTTCAGTAGTTATGGTTAGCTGGTCAGGAGGTGGCTAACAAGGAATAGCAAGTTGCTGGAAAACTCAGTACCAACACAGGGTTGTAATGTCAGGGTTGGTGAGAGATCCTTTTCTTGATTTCTTTTTCTTCCCCTTTTCCCACAAGAATGTTAGGAAGAAAGGGAGTGAGATGATGTGCACATACTAGAAACCCCCATTTTAGTTGCTAACAATGAAAGTTGGTTGAACACATTTCAGGAAATCATGGATAAAAATGTTTTGATGACATTATCTTTCAGGAATAAGAATTTTTTTTTTCTGTAAATTATATTTAGGGCATGATTTGGGAGAGATCTCAAATGTAGTTTGGTTGTGCTATTTTGTGGTGTCTAATCACCTAGGCCCCAGCTATAACTGTGTTTTATTTTTTTGCATTTCTAAAGTGTGTCCTATCACTCAGTTAGGCCATTTAATTCTCTGCAAGTGGGAATGTGGTTGGCAGAGGGGCAGAATAGGAAGGAAAAGGAAGATAAAATTGGCTTAAACCCATCCCTTAGACAGTAACATATTCCAGCTGGGATATATTGAGAAACCTCTTTGAACATTGACTTTTGAATTAACAATGAAAGACAGAACTGTAAAATAGGTACAGTGTATGGCGGGATACCTTTAGGAAGGGGGAAGGTGAATGGAAGAGATGGAAGTGAGGGGACAGGGTTGATGGGCTTCATATACATAAAGGAAATAGAATGATGAAACCTCTTGTAATTGCTTTAAGTGGGACAGAGAGGGGATAGTGGGGGGTAGATGGAGGGAGAGATCTAACCAATGTGCAATGTAAGGCTATTCAGAATTGTCACAACAAATCCCCCCTAATATAATTAATATACGCTAATGAAAATGAAAAAAAATCTCTTAGAATCAGTTGGAGAAAGCTTTTAATTTTAAATCTGCCCTTACTCTTCTGTAGCTAACTTTAATTGTCTAAATTTTTTAAAAAAAAATCACTGCCCAAATTTGAGAACAAAAAATAGTCTCCTTTGATTATATCCTAGCAGGGGACAGTGGTTTAGGATATGACAATGAAAGCAGGAACCCTTTCCTCTCATACCCTTGTCTGCTTCAGATTCCTAAGTTCAGTTATGTCCTAAAAGAATTACATTTACAAGGTCTCAGATCTTCTTTTCATCCTTCTGTTTGGAACAGGCTTTTTTTTCTCTTTTAAAATCCTTCACACCCATGGAAATCCAGCTTAAAAAAAACAAACAAACCACACATCCTTACAAGAAACTTTTTTCTAGCCAAGCCTGAAATTACCTTGTCTAGTTTTGATCTTTGGGTTTACATTTTCCCAACACCTTTCTTTGATCCATTAGTCAATGCTGTTGTTGCTTTTACCCCAGGTGCAGAATCATTCACGTTTCCCCAGGTGCAGAATCATTCACGTTTTAAGTGTTGATGTGTTTTGTCTCCAGAGTCTCTGCAACCAGGGACTATGCTGATGCTTTCTTGTTTCTTTCCTGTGTCTTGTGTACTGTGGGTATTCAACAAATAATTCTTGCTCAATTTGTGATGGTGTTTTTATTTCACAGAGGGTGAGAATTTGTCAGTTTATCTGTTCAGCAATAGTTGGGTCTGACAGGTGTGAGGACATTGGAGATCAAAAGCTTTCTGAAGAGTTAGTATTTACGTATGCTTTACATTTAGATAATGATTTCCCCCCAATGCATATTTAAGAAGAATATTATTCTAAGTCATGAACATGTTGCATTGCAAATATTTGTGTAAATGATAACCCATGGATTTTTGTAAGTAAAAAGAACATAACTAGGCCAACACAAGGAGGCATGTGGTTGTTCTTTTTGTTATAATAGCAAACTGTTTGTGGCCCTTTGTGTGACCCCAACACAGGAGCTTGCCATACTATGACATGTAGCCTGTAGTGTATTATATAGTGATTTGCGGAGACACACTGGGGAGGTAAGTTTCTTTACCAAGAAGTGAGGAGAGCTCAGCTTTGGATTCTGCCTACCTCTGATTTAACTGCTCTGGCTGGTGTGATACTTGTCCAGGCTTCATAATTTGCTGAAGAGGCCAACTACCAGATAAAGAGAGGTCCTTCAGTGACCCTTCTTCTAGCTTTAATGGGAAAAAGAAACAAAGTGTAGTGAAAATGATAGAACACTTCAATTAAACTATGTTCAAATAATAACCTTCCTTGTCCTTCTCAAATTCCTCCCTGGAATAATAAAGTGAGAGTGTGTTAAGTATTGGTAGTATAATTTGAATTGTAAAAGCTATAAAGTGAATAATTATCATCTAAGTCCATTGGATTAGGATTCTACAAAGTTATAAAGTTAAGATAAATAAATGGGGAAGATGTAAGTAATATTTTAACATAATTATTTTCCTTGAGTATTCTAGGTCTTTCTTGAATTTTTCTATGAAAGCATATATAAAACATAGAGATCACATCTACTTTCTAACAAAATCCCATGTGTTCTTGCTTTTCTGAAGGAACCATTTGATTGCTCTGAATACGGAAATGGATCGTGCCCAGAAAATGAAAGGCCACTAGCTATCCGAGCTGCAATGTATTCCTTTATGTCAGGAGCCATATTCATCACAGTATTTGGTAATCTTGCCATGATAATTTCCATTTCCTCCTTTAGAAAGCTTCACACACCAACCAACTTCCTCATCCTCTCCATGGCAGTCACTGATTCCCTCCTGGGATTCACCATCATGCCATATAGTATGATCAGATCAGTGGAGAACTGCTGGTATTTTGGGCTTACATTTTGCAAGATTCATTACAGTGTTGACCTGATGCTTAGTGTCACCTCCATTTTCCACCTTTGCTCAGTGGCCATTGATCGATTTTATGCTATCTGTTACCCTTTACACTATTCCACCAAAATGACAATCCCAGTCATTAAACAGTTGCTGCTTCTCTGCTGGTCAGTCCCTGGAGCCTTTGCTTTTGGGGTGGTCTTTTCCGAGGCCTATGCTGATGGGATCGAAGGGTACGATATCTTGGTCGCTTGTTCCAGTTCCTGCCCCGTCATGTTCAATAAGCTGTGGGGGATCACCTTGTTTATGGCAGGTTTCTTCCTGCCTGGCTCTGTGATGGTGGGGATTTATGGCAAAATTTTTGCTGTATCCAGAAAGCACTCTCGTGCAATCAGTAACTTGCCAGAAAATCAAAATAATCTAATGAGGAAAGACAAAAAAGCAGCCAAAACTTTAGGAATAGTGATGGGTGTTTTCTTGGTGTGTTGGTTTCCCTGTTTTTTCACTATTCTGCTAGATCCCTTTTTGAACTTCTCTACACCTGCAGTTCTGTTTGATGCTTTGACATGGTTTGGCTATTTTAACTCCACTTGTAATCCCTTAATTTATGGTTTCTTCTACCCCTGGTTTCGCAGAGCGCTTAAGTACATTTTGTTAGGCAAAATTTTCAGCTCATGTTTCCATAATACTAATTTGTTTACTCAAAAAGAAACCAAATAGGCTTATTCTGTATGAGTGATTTGAAGCAAAAGGACTTGAACTTAGTAGAATGAAGTTGCTTTAAGTGTGTATTGGGGTGGGGGGGGTTGCCTAGCATAGAAGGTTCTTAGTTTCTATGAATCTTCTCTTTGGAGTCAAACAGCCTCCAATTCTTCATACACCCACTACTTCCCAGTAGAGAGAAAAGAAGGAAAATTAGAAAAATAAATAAAAAATGGTAAAAAGTCAGGAATGGAATAACAATGAGCCACAAAAACGCTTTTATGGTTTTGGGGATCAGAAAACAGTTTGCACTGGAGGATTGCTCATTCTTCTCACCACCACACACATTTGTGTGATATTCCATCTGCTGCTTCTTCCTCTGTGTCTGATGAACAGTATTTTGAAACATCACATTGGTAAGTAAATATGGAAATAACAGTTTCAAACTTCATATTCTGTTAGGAAACAGTAATTTATTAGCCCAGAGTTAAACTTTTAGTAGATTCTACTGTTGTGAAGATAAACATTGTTTTTTTTAAATAAAAAAACAGGAAACAACTATCCAAGGCCATCGTCTCTACCCAAGTTCTCATTAGTGTATCATGTTAAACACACAAGTTGGCAACTTTTCGCTTTACTAGTAAGAGAATTCTCTCAGTGCCTCCTTTCTCCCTTAGGCACATTTGTACTGCTATTTGACATGCTTTATGTTTAATAAATGTGAGTAACCACCAAAAAAAGTTGTGTTTTGAATTCATCATTCCTTTTTGCCTCATATCTATACCTGTGTTTTTAAATAATAGAATAGTGGGAATGGAAAGCCAAGAAGAAAACTATTATTTACTGGAGGAGGGACTCTGGGAACTATCAACTTTACAATTGTATTTACTTTCTTTTTAATTGTATGTTAAATGAGACTCATTCACACCTGGTGGACTGTGATCAGTGACAGGCTAGAAAATGTTTAGCACTTGGCTCAAAGAACAAAAAAATCCCCCACCTGATTTGTAAAGTTGGGTGGTTTCTGTGGCATACAAACAAAACCCTCCTACTACAAACTGATTTTAAGCTAAGAATGTAATGTCAATTGGCTCTCAAAATTCCTAAAAATTTAACAACCTGTTCTTGAAATGGGCATGAGTGATTGCAGTATAGTCCTCACTATAAGCAAATTCTTAATGAAAAACAGATTAGAATAGAAGAAATAGATCATATCAGAATCCAACACTTGCAGTGAGGATAAGAATCATCCTTCACAAAGGTCACATGTTTTCTTTCATGTGAGAAAGGTAGACCTAAAAGGTAAATATATACATAAATTAGCATATACTATATATATATATATATATATATATATATATATATATATGGAGAACACATTTGTAATAGTGGGCGTGTTTAAGAGGACTAGGGGAAGGTGGGAGAAGTGAATAATATCTAGATGCATTGCATCTGCGTATGAAGATGCCATTACAAAACACACTGAAAGCTGTTAGAAAATAGGGGAGGGAGACAATGGAGAGTGAAAGTAATAGAGGGGATTAATTTGACTAAAGTAAAATATTTACGTATGAAATACCATGGTGAAAACCCTTAAACAATGAATAAACATGTTAAAAAATGAAAGATAGAGCTGGGTGCTGGTGGCTCATGCCTGTAATCCTAGCTACTTGGAAGAATGAGATCCTGAGGATCTTGGCTGTAGGCCAGCATGGGCAAATAGTTCACAAGATTCCATCTCCAAAATAACCAGAGTAAAACAGACTGGGGGTGTGGCTCAAGTGATAGAGTCCTTGCTGAGTTCAAACCCCAACTACACACACACACACAAATAGAGGGCAAGAATGTAAAACATGTCCTGTTATGGGGTGAGTACTAGTGGGAAGGGGGAAGGTGAATGAAGAGGGTGAAGGAGGGCGAATATGGTTGATATACTTTATATACTTGTATGAAGATAGAACAATGAAACAATGAAATTGCTTTAAGAAGTGGGGAAAGGAGATGTGGGAGAATGATGGAGGTGGAAATTAGCCAATGTACAATGTAAACAAATATGGAATGAAACTCCACAGTACAACTATTATATCCTAATAAAAATGTTTTTAAAAAGAATCATCCTACCAAGTTTTGTTTTAGATATATCTGTGTGTGTATGTGTGTGTACATGAAGTGTGTTTCATTGAAATATTTTTGTTTAATTTGTATTATATCAATGAAAAAATAACATTTTAAAAACATACTTGCCTGTAAATGTGCTTTGATTTTACTCATTACACAGATTAAAATTAAAGTGACTACTCAGCAGTCAGTTTAAATATTCATCTTGCCAAAATATCTTTAGGTGACAGCCTAAAGATGGACCTGCCACATATTCTCTAAGTCTTGTATACTACCTCCCCATCCTTGTTGGCCTGGTGGCAGGTTGGTCTCTCCCTACAGTCTGTAGAGTAGATATGGAATAATATAGCTACTTTGAAATGGCCAGAGATACTACAAGCACAAAATAAGAAATGGAAGAAGAGAATAATTAAGCTAGGTACAGTGATGGGAGAAAATCTGATATGTTAGATACCATTGAGACTATTTGGCCATATTTTGTAATGAAATGATAGTGTTTATTATATTTTGGTATTTATTCATTTACTTTTTCCTTCCTTCTTCTTTCTCTTTTCTATTTTGGCACACACAGACTTTATGCCTTTATTTTAAAAGACCAATTGCTAAAAAAATTAATAAAATAAGAGTGTGGCCTTACTATAAGATAGAATTAGAGTAGTTTATTTACTCATTTATGTTTTTATTATCCTATTATTGTTATATTAGGGGCACATTATGACATTTACAAAAGTTCTGGCAATATAACATAGTTGAATTTACTCCCTCCACCATTTTCCTTTATCCTCCCCCACCCCAACAGTAGTTTGAATTAATGCTTACTTAATTTGCTTTCCAACTCATTAATACATGACTTGAAAAAATAAAAGCTAACTATCTTGGTGGGAGATTACCTGCTGTCATTTGTTGGAAAAGTGTGTGTGACTGTCTTTTTAACAGAACGATGATCTTTGTGATGGTTGTTTTAGTTTATACTGAGAAAATGTTTTAAAATGGCAGCCTTATGGGAGCTATAAAACTTTCTGTGATGCTTGCTTTTTCTATTAGAATCTTATTTGTATTCTAAAATTTTATTCTATTCTATTTTATTTTTTACAGTCCTGGAGAACAAACCCAGGGTCTCACACATGCTGGACAAGTGCTCTACCAGTGAGCTCCACCCTAAGCCCCTGTTCATTTTGAGGTGTCCTTCACATAGCCTCTCAGTAATGTTTCACTCAATCATCTCTTTTTATTGAAACAGATAATTTTTTAAATTTGCACTTTTTAGTTTGAAAATGTGGTCATCTTGGCTTATCCACAGGTGAAGCAAGCATAGTGACGCTGCCTTCTGGGTACTTGCTGCCTTTCCTCATTTGTTCAGCGTTCATTTTTTAGGGCTGCTCCAGTAAGCGCACCCTATACCCAAAGCTTTGTAGGAAGTTAAGATGAGAAAACTGAGCCCAGGAGACTAAGTAACTGGTGGCTCATACCACTAGTTACAGAAACAAGACTACAACCCACCTCTCATAACTTCTTTTTTAGTGTTCTTTGTTTTTAAAAGTAGTTTTTCTTTGTTTTTTTTTTTTTTAGCATTTTGGGACACTTTAACTGGCTTGTCTTCCTTCCTCTCTCCCTTCCTTCTTCCCTCCCTCCCTCCCTTTCTTCTTCTCTTCCTTCCTTCCCTCCCTTTTTTTTTAAACTGAGGGTTTTAGTCAAGTTGGTGCAAGTCACTAAAATAAAAATAAGCACTTCTCTCCCACTCCAATATCTTCTCATTCAAAGAGCAACCAAACCTTTCATGATTCAAACAATTGTTCTTCCCTTGCATATTAGCCAGCATTTAATTTAGCCTACACATCTCTATGCCTTTTTAATATGCAAGGTTTTAGAACCTTATTTTCCCAGAATGAAGCCTAAATGACCATGAAATTATTGTCCTTCACTTGGAGAAAAAGGGGACCAGCAGAGTGGCTCAAGTGGTACAGCATCTGCCTAGCAAGCATGAGATCATGAGTTTAAACCCCAGTACTGCAAAAATAAGAAAAAAAGTTCCTTCCATTTGGAGAAAAAGAAACTAAAAACTTCCTGGAATATTAAAAACATATGGAATATTTCAAAATTCCCCAGGAAAGAAAGTTAAAAGAACAATTCACTGGGGGCTCTGTAGTTAGTACCTCTGTCAAGCTCCTGCATCTGTGTTCTCCACAGCAGCTCTCTTGAGAGCAGAGGCAAACTTATATGACCCAGTCTCTTAATAATCTGCACTGAACTTTACAGAACATCCACCCATCACAACACCAACCCAACAGGAGAGACTCAACGTTTCACAGGTAACTTCCTAGGAAAGAAAAGGTACTGGGTCAATAACAAGAATTAAATTGTACAATCCTTTACTATTATTACTGATTTTTTTTTCTCTTCAAAATAATTTAACATTGATAATTAAATTTTATAGGGAATCAGAAGTTGTTACAAGTAGTTTGCAATAGGAAAGACAGCATTTTTTTCCTAACTAGAAAATAATTATTATGATATTCCTGTGAAAGGTATTCATTTTCTATTCAAATTTATTTGGCAAGGTTTATAAGTTAATGTGTAGTATATATGAAAATGTTTTTGCAAAAATTGCCCAAGACATGATTCAGTAAGTGTAAGGTACTCAGATATTTTAATAATGCTAAAATGCACTTTCCTTTTGGCATTATATCTTAATGACAAAAATAACTATTTTATACTACTTACATCACTGCAAGATGCCACAGATTTCATATTTGGTATATTTTCCCTTTGAGGCATGTTTATTCAAGATATTTGGCTGCTTTTTTCTCCTTAAAACTATTCCCTTATGTCAAATGGAGTGCCCACACTTAAGATGCAGCTTCTATATGGTCTAGAACATTTCTTCTCAAATTCAACAGGCA